TATCTTTTTCCAGTAGTATAAAAGGCAATCGACTATACACATGGACCTCATCAGATGGAATACACTGGAATCAAATTGACTACATCTGTGGAGAAGCTCAATCAAGCTAAAACAAGGCCAGGGATGACTGTGAAACAGACCATGATTATTCAGGTTGAAGCTAAAGAAAATTAAAACAATTCCATGAGAGCCACTCTATAACCTTGAATATATCCCACCTGATCTTAAAGACCATCTCAAGAGCAAATTTGATGCATTAGACACTAATGACTAAAGACCAGGGTTGTGGGATGACATCAAAATCATCATACATGAAGAAAACAATAGGTCATTAAAAATAAAAGAAAGGAAGAAAAGACCAGAGTGGATGTCAGAAGAGACTGTAAAACTTGCTCTTGAGCATGGCGGTTGTGTGCTGTAATTCCAACTCAGTGATCCTGTATAGTTTCTGATGCTATAAATCTTTACAAGAGTAGAAAGCTTCATTTTTTTCCCCACTGAACGGGTAGTAGTTTCAAACTGCTAACTACGAGGTTAGCAGCCCAACTCATAACCACTACGCTACCAGAGCTCCTTTTCTCTTGAGCACAGAGAAGCTAAAGTGACTAGAATAAATGATGAAAAGAGCTAAACAGAAAATAGCAAATGGTAGCTCAAGAAGACAAAGTTACAAAACCAAAAGGGAAGAACATGTTCGGCATTTCTCAGGCTGAAAGAACTGAAGAAAAATTCAAGCCTCAACTTGTAATACTGAGGAATGCTATGGACAAAATATTGAATGACTCTAGCAATATCAAAATAAGATGGATGGAATATACAGAATCACTATACCAAAAAGAAGTGGTTGATGTTCAATCACTTCAAGAGGCAGCATCTGATCAAAAATAGACAGCATTTAAGGAAGAAGTCCAAGCTGCACTGAAGGCACTGGTGAAAAACAGAGCTTCAGGAATTGAAGGAATACAAACTGAAATATTTCAACAAACTGATACACCATTGGAGGACAGTCTACCTATCCAATTGATTGGAAGAGATTCGTATTTGTGCCCAATCCAAAGGTGACCCAAAAGAATTAACTTAACAGTATCATTAATATCACATGCACTTAAAATTTTGCTGAATATTGCAAAATTCAAAAACGATTGCAGCAGTCTATCTACAGGAAGCTGCCAGAAATTCAAGCCGATTCAGGAGAGGTGAAACAAGGGATATCATTGCTGATGTCAGATGGATCTTGGCTGAAAGCAGAGAATACCAGAAAGATGTTTACTTGTGCTTCATTGACTACACAAAGGCATTTTGACTGTGAATCATAACAAACTATGGGTAACACTGTGAAGAATGCACATTCCAGAATGCTTAATTGTGCTCAGGAGGAACCTGTACATAGACCAAGAGGCAGTCATTTGAACTGAACAAGGGAATACTGGATGGTTTAAAATCAAGAAAGGTGTGCACCAGAGTTTTATATCCTTTCGCCATACTTATTCAATCTTGTGTGCTGAGCAAATAATCTGAGAAGCTCGATTACAGGAAGAATGTGTGGCATCAGGACTGGAGGAAGAGGCATTAATAATCCGCGATATGCAAATGACACAACCTGAAAGCAAAGAGGACTTGAAGCATTTACTGATGATCAAAGACTACAGCCTTCAGTATGGATTACACCTCATCATAAAGAAAAGAAAAATCCTCACAACTGGATCTATGAACATCATGAAAAATAGAGAAAAGACTGAAGTAGTTGTCACAGACTTCAATTTGCTTGGATCTACAATCAAGGCTCACGGAAGCAGCAGTCAAGAAATCAAATAACATGGAAAATTTTCATTATCTTTTAATTCCAATTTCCGCGAACTTTTTGAAGCTTTCTTGTATATCCTCAGGCTGTTCATAACTTCCTTCCTTTGCAACAGTTAATTCAAATGCTTGATTTTTCATATCTGGCCTCAAGTTGAACTACAAGTTTCAGCAAGAAAAAGTGACAGGGCAAAATTCAAGAAGGGCATTCCCCTGCACTATGCTCTTAACTCTCCCGTCTGATGCCGTTTACACAGCTTGTGTCAACACCTGTTGACCTCATTATGGCAGTATTTCAGTAACATTCAGAGAAGGGCCTAAAGACCTGTGTAAAAATGCAACGGAGATGTACAATAGCAGACACAGAAAGCTAAAATGCATAAATGTACATTTTGAATAAATTAAAAACAACAAAGTCACATCAGCTAGAGAGTAAAGTTGTAAATAAATCCAGTATGTTTATCACTACACATTTGTGTACCTACCTCCTAAAGTAAACAAAAGTAGGAAAACATAAGAAATGGTATTCTTTCCCATTTGCTTAGGGGTGCCAGGGAGTAGGACAGGATGGGGCTGGGGAGGAATAGTCCTAATCTAGAAGCTACCTGTACAGTTAAAGGCAGAACAAAAAACCCCACCAATGATTACAATTAGTAATAAATTGGACTTACTGTTTGGCCTGGTTAACATGAACTCCTAGTGTATAGCTCAGCCATTTGTATGTCACCTGCAAGAAGAAGGAATTTTTAAAAATGTTTTATTAGATGATTCCAGAGTACACATTAGTCCCAAGGGTCTGCTCCTAAAGAGTCCTTTTCTTAGATCATTATATTTTATAAATTATGTAGCTTCCATCCCAGTTTTGCTGAGAACCATGCATATGGTCAGATAGAATCGGAACATTTATCTTACAAATACAAGATTCAGCAACTTCTAAAGAAAGTTACAGCCTTACAAATATCTAGGGGTCAGGAAATAAAGTGGATGACATCCTATCAGAGGTTGGATTGGGGAACGACTGGCATCAAGCTTGATGATCTCCCTTCCATCCTTCCTTGAATCAGTATGTCACCCTCATCTCTTAAAGTCTATTCCAATTCTAAACGCTGAGCTTATAATAAGCTTACAATGATAAGACCTACATAGGTTAGGCCAAGTCAGTGTAATGTAAAAGAAAGCATTCCCGGACACAAGAGACCTAGGTATGAAAACTGTATGCCTTTAATAACCAAGTAACTAAGTAATTTTGCTTCTCTGCCTCGACGTCCTCTTCTAAAGATCTCTGAATGAGTAAAGATTAAATGCAATGTGTATCCAAAGTGGCCTAACTCACAATACGCACACAACAAATAACAGTGGTTTGCAAAATGCATTCACATCCACTGGTTGGTTTACACACCAAGCCAGTGATGGAAGGCCAAGCCTGTACCAATATCTACAGATTTTCACGAAGAAGCTGGCTGTTGGGAATTAGTTCGTGTCACTTAAGCCGGTTAAAACACAATTTCCTCAACCGTAAACTTAAGCCTTTAAAGGTCAACCATTACATAAGATTGGCGTAGGGAGGGCTGAGAAATATACTTAGCCAACGCCCCTCCCTCTGCGACCGCTGCCGCGTGGTCAGACCCCGCACGCCCACCAAAGTGGCGCGGACTCGCGCGCCGAGGACCAGTCTGACAAGATTTCGTGAGGCCTGGGGTACGAGTTATGAGGACCCGTCTCCCCAGCCCCAGATCCCAGGAGGCCACAAGTGGAGGGGTCAAGGCCCCGCGGAGCCTTAGGCGGACGCAGGACCCCAGTAGCCCGCTAGCATTCCCCAGCCCTAGCTTCTCACGATCTTGTTTTGGTCCATGACGAATTCGTCTATATTTTCCAGATAAAGTTGATCCGCCATAGTGCTGCAGCCTTGGACCCCGCCGTCTCTAGTGCAACTCGCCGCCACAGTCACAGCTCCCGCCGGCGGGAAATGCCTCAGCTCCCTTCTTCCCTCCCAGGTCCGGGGTCGTTTCCTACGGCAACAGAGGCGACGCACTACGGCGGCCGTCCGAGGGTCAAATTAGTCTCGGAGACGGCGCAGAGAGAAGTATTTGAAACTGATAGGAGATACTGACACAGAGGAACTGGGAGGGCAGGCGTGGTCTTGGGAGAGTCTGTTCATGCAGTTTGGAGTTCGAATTCACCTCTCCCACTCTGGTAGCCTCTCCCACTATGGAGTCCTGGTGTGGCGCTGTGGGCTAATGCGTCAGACTGCAAAGTCGTTTGAGCTGCAACGTCGGTGGTTCAAGTTCACTAGCTGCTCCTTGGAAACACTATACAGGGTGGCTATAACACTATACAGGAGTTCTGGTAGAGTAGTGGTTACGAATCGGGCTGCTATCCTTAGGGTTTTCAGTTCGAAACTACCAGCTGTTCCGCGGGAGAAAGATAAGGCTTTCTGCTCCGGTAAAGATTTACAGCCTCGGAAACCCTGCACCAGTGTCACGATGAGTTGAAACTAACTCCACGGCACATAACAACAACAATTTACCGACTAACCCTGGGCAAAATATCTCATTTCTAGGAGTCACAGTCATTCCACCTGTAAATTGATAAAATAATTCCTGTTCTTTCATAAAAGTTTCAACAAATATTTATTATTATACTTACCTAGAGTTCTGAGGCGTATTGGAGTGGCTCTGCGGGTTAATGCGCTGGGCTGCAAAGTAGGTTTGAACCACAAAATCGGCGGTTTAAGCTCACCAGTTCCTCCGAAACTCTATACAAGGGCCCTATGGGTCGGAATCGGCTCAACGGCACTTAACAACAACAAATTTATTATTAAGTACCTATGGTGTGGCGCTGTAGGATAAAACCTGCCCTGGTCACCTCAAGGTTAGTTGTTCAAGCCCACTAGCCTCTCCTTGAAAACCCTATTTATAGTTGCTGTGAGTCGGACGCTAATCGACAACACTTGTATTTTAATAGGAGCTCTGATGATCTTGTAGGATAAGCACTGGATTGCTGACCTCAAGGTCGACAGTTTAAACCTACCAGCCACTCTGGGGGAGAAAGATGAGATTTTCTGCTCCCATAAAGATTGACAGTCTCAGAAATCCTTGGAAGCAACTTGATGACATTGGGTTGGGTTATATTTCAAAGGAACCCTGGTGATGCAGTAGTTAAGCACTAGGCTGCTAGCCAAAAGTCGGCAGTTCAAAACCACCAGCAGCTCTGCTGGAGAGAGATGAAACTGTCTGCTCCCGTAAAGATTTACAGTCTTGGAAGCCCTATACAGGTCGCTGTGATTCTGAACCCACTTGGTGGCAGTGGGGTTTTGGTTTTATTACGTTTCAAATGAACCCTGGTGGCACAGTGGTTAAGCACTAGGCTGCTAACCCAAAGGTTTGCATGATCTAACAACCCACTAGGTGCTCTTCAGGAGAAAGAAGGGACTGTCTGCTTCGATAAAGATTTAGTCTTGGAAATCCTATGGGACACTTCTACTCTGTCCTGTGTGGTTGCTGTGAGTTGAAATTGATTACCTGGCAATGAGTTTAGTATTAGGTGGGGACATAGTGAACACTGTTGTTGTTGTCGTTAAGTCCCATAAAGTTGGTTTCAACTCATATCAACCCTGTATAGGGTTTCCGAAGCAATGTTGCTGGTTTAAACCGACCTTATAGTCGAGTGCTTATCCTACAGCGCCACACCGGGATGCCTGGTGAACATGTTGTTGTTGTTAAGTGCCGTGGATTCAGTTCCGACCCATAGCGACCCTGTGTAGGGTTTCCAAAGAGCGGCTAGTGAGCTTGAACTGGCGACCTTGTGGTTCAAACCAACTTTGCAGTCCAGCGCATTAACCCACAGAGCCACACCAGAGAACAATTGATGTTGTTGTTAAGTGCCGTGGAGTCGGTTCCGACTCATAGTGAACCTGCACAGGGTTTCCGAGCCTGTAAATCCTTACGGGAACAGAATGCCTCATCTTTCTCCCGCGGAACAGCTGGTAGTTTCGAACTGGTGACCTTGCGGTTCACAGCCCGATTCGTAACCACTACGCTACCAGAGCTCCTTAGAGAACAATAAATACAGAGAAATAAACAATTTTAGGACAGATGGGATAAAACACTGCCTGTTGTGATCCCTCAGAACTGAAAAACTAAGAAAGGTTTTTCAGTTTAGATGCGAGGAGGACTGTTTCATGTAGAGACATGGCTTTTGCTGGGAAGAGAAAGTACTTAGTTTTCATGAAAAAGAAAAGATTTTATTATAGCTGGAATGAAGGGAGAAGGGTCCAGTGAAGAGAGATGAATCTTGGGAGAAGCCTTATCATGCAGGGGGCCCTACAAGGCTGTGTGAAGTAGCACATGAAGTTTATTATGAGGGAAACTTGGAGATGAATTTTCAGGTTTAGGAATTTCAACAATGAATTCCCCTCTACAGAACAAATAGTCTTCATGAACCACAACTTCATAAACCCTGAGACCAGAACTAGAGGGTGTCCAGCTACCACTACCAACCATTTCTAATCGTGACACACCAAATGGATCCTGGTAGAATGGGGGTGGGGGTGTGTGGAACAGAACCTCAACCAACCAGATCTACTGGACTGGTTGAAACATGAAGATTCCCTGAAACTATTGCCCGGAGATGAGTTGCTCTCCAAACCTTGAATCAAAGCGAGTCCCTGAGGTCACTTTATATAGAAATAGTAAATTGGCTCAAAAAATAATGAGTGTCACTTGTAAGTACTGTGCTCCTTTTAAAAAATCCTCAGTATGAGACCTATACTAACTTTAAAATAAAAATGAGAATGGTAGGGGGAAAGGGAACTGAATTAATGGAAATGGAACAACCAGAAATGAAATAATGAGACTGTTTGTACATTAGTAAGAATTTAACCATTGTCAACAAACAACTTGTGTAGAAATTGTTGAATGGAGACCTACACTATTAATAATAATTTAAAAAAATATTTTTTTTAAAAAACCTAACATCAGTCATGGAAGTTGTTTTTGTTAAGTGCCGTAAAGTCGGTTCTGACCAAATCAAATGATGTATTGCATTAGGCAAATCTGCCGCAAAAGACTTCTTTAAAATATTCAGGAGCAAAGATATCAGTTTGAGGACTAAGATGTGCCTGACTCAAGTCATGGTATTTTCAATTGCCTCATATATATTTGAAAGTTGAACAACAAATAAGAAAGACAAGAATCAATACATTTGAATTATATTGCTGTTAAAGAACATTGAAACTACCATGAACTTCCAGGAGAACAAATAAATCTGTGTTGGAAAAAGTACAGCCAGGATGCTCCTTAGAAGCCAGGATGCCGAAACTTCATCTCTCATACTTTGGACATGTTATCATGAGGGACCAGTCCCTGAAGAAGGACATGATGTTTGGTGAGATGGAGGGTCAAAGAAAAAGAGAAAGACCCCAATGAGATGGATTGACACAGTGGCAACCACAATGGGCTCAAATATAATGATTGGGAGGATGGCGCAGGACCTGGCAGTGTTTGTTTCTGTTGTGCATAGGGTTCCTATAAATCGGAACTCACCTGACCATATCTAACAACTAACAAATATCAGCTAAAGTAACCTTAATCATTTTTTTGTTGACCTTGTATTACAAATCATACTTTGAAATAATAAGAAATTGCTTCTATTTTTTTTTTTTTTGCATGTGTTTTGTTCTGTTTTTCATATACATGAAAAGTAACATTAATAATTTACTTCAGTACGGGGGAAGGATTGCAGTGTATACCCTTTGGTTGGTTGGTGATGTATGGAGGGGATTGTAACCATGGCAATGAGACGATATACGATAGAATGAATGTAAAACTAATGTTCTCCCATGTAAACTATCACATAATTCACAATAAAACATTTAAGAAAAAAAAAATAATTTACTTCAACACAAGCTAGAGTAGATCAGCAGCACAACATAGTAGATAAGCGAGTAGACTCTGGGTTGAGATTGCCTGGACTTGAATCTGGTTTTGCTATTTGTTGTATGACCATAGATACGTTTATTTAAACACTACAAGACTGTTTCCTCACCTATAAGGTGGAAATAATAATTATACTGGATTCAAAGGTCTGTTGCAGAATGAAATCATTCAAGACGTATTTACCAAAAAGTTACTAAGAGCAAGACACTGTTCTGGGTGCTGGGGGTACTGTCGTGATCAATAATAATACGTGGAGCATGTTCACATGTAGCTTACATTCTTTTGGAAATATGTAACTAAAAGCTGGTGGTGACTTAAACTAGGGCAGTGATAGTAGAAATTGAGAAAACTAGGTGACTTAGGTTTTGTTTGAAACATAGAGTTGGAAGACCTGCTGACAGATGATTGGAATCTGAGAAAGAGAGGAATCACGGGAAATGCTTAGTTTTAGAACCTAAATCTTTAGGTAAATGGTGATGCCTTTGACTAAAATGGGAAGACTAGGAAAAAGCTAAGTGTCTTAAGTTCTCTAGTGCTGCTATATCAGAAATACCACAAGTGACTTTAAAAACCAAAATTTATTCACTCACATTAGTAAGAATGTAACCAATGTCAACGAACAACTTGTGTAGAAATTGTTGAATGGAGACCTAGGAGCCTAGAAGTTCAAATCCAGAGCGCCTGCTCTGGGGAAAGGCCCTTGTCTCCTTTCAGCATCTGTAAACCCATCATTCCTTGGAGCTCTCCATGTGTCTTGGCACCAGTTTTCCCCTGGATCTAGGAGCTTCACAGTGCAGGGACCCAGGCCCAAAGGACCCACCCCCCTCTTAGCTTTTCTTTCTTGGTAATAGTTGGTCCCTCTCTCTCTGCTCACTTTTCTCTCCTTTTATATTTCAAAAGACATTGACTCAGATACAACCTAATCCTGTAGATTGCATCTGGCCTCATTAGCATCATGTTGTTGTTGTTAAATGTCGCCGAGTTGGTTCCAACCTGTAGCCACCCTGTATAGGGTTTCTGAGGAGCAACA